TCTATGGGAAACTGTAAATTATCTAATGATTGCAAAATCATCTAAAATCATCATTTATCTAAAATGATTGCAATTAATGGTCACAAATGTTTAAATAATGACAGTGGGTCTGGTTGAATGTGATAACAATGTGCAGTGGGCAGTGGAATAACTATTGGTTTCCGTTTGTGGTGACTGCTGACTGAGATAAGGAATGAGATTAAATAGATCCTGGAACTTAGCCTGGTCTGGAGCAGGCTAGCTCCACAGAATAAATCTCCATGGTAACATATGTCATAACATATCCCGCTTTCCACTATCCTGCTTTTGTGCAACCTGATCACGGATAAGTTGAGCCAGGATAACCAAGATATCCCGGCTTAATCCCTTATCCTAGTTTTGCAATGGGCCCCAGTAATTAGTAGGGGAAGCAGGCAGACAAAAATAACAAACAAACAAACATTTAAAGAAAGAAAACTAGTTCACCCCAAGGACAACACCCATATCTTTTTGCCCACTACTGGCTCACGGGCCAGAGCAGACTAGACATAGAAAAAGCACAAACAAAACCAAATAGCGGAACAGTCCTACGGCAAGAGCAGCTAATGGGACAAGGAAAATCAAAACAAGCAAGGAGAAAAAAAGCAACAACATAAAAAAAATACCAACAACTTAAATAAATAAATATGTAAATAAATAGAATACAATAAATTACACTTTACAGTCTAATCCTGTGTCTCTGAGGAAGACATATATCTCCTTTATTTAACCAGGTGAAAGCCTCATTGAGATTAAAAATCTCTTTTCAAGAGTGACCTTGCCAAGAGGGCAGCATACAACATCGTTACAAGTTACAACACAAATAGACATATACAACTGTCATACCCAACAAATTAATAAAAAACACAATATACAATTAACATGAAATACAAGGTCCAGGAAAAGAACAATTTTTAAAATAAATTAGAAACAGTCACATTGACTAAAAGAGCTAATTTCCCGTTCAGATCCTTCTGAAGATTAATCCAAGATGAGGGAGCAGCATATTTAAAAGCTTTTTTTGCCAAGTTCTGTTCTCACCCTTGGAACCTGCATTTGAAGAGTATTACAAGAGTGAAGGCCGTATTGATTATGGTTTCTGCACATGTATGTAGAAAGGTAAGAGGGAACCAGGCCAAGAATAGATTTATATATAAAAACCAACCAATGCGAGAGCCTGCGGACATACAAAGATGGCCATTTAGCAATAGCATACAGAGTACAGTGGTGTGTGCGATTTCCACAACCAGTAAAGAAGCGCAAACATGGACACACAGTGTCTAACTTCTTTAGACACTGGTCAGGGGCATTCATGAAAAGCAAATCACCATAATCCAGCAGAGGTTAAAAAAAAAAAAAAAAAAGTTGCAGATATTAAGTGTCTCCTTGCTCCACTTCCTCCTCTTGAGAGGACAGATGGTTTGAAAGAGGGGTGAAAGAATCCATCTATGTTAAAATAGAGAAACCGTCTCTAAACAGGGGAGGTGGCCTGAGACACCACCTATCCCCCATTTACAATGCGGCCCTTGCTGCTGTACCTAAGAGATTGAACAACAAAGACTGCCTGAAACTAACCTCAAGTGGCTCAAAGAAACACAACGACAGTCGTTCACTGGTAACCACACATCATGCCTAACGACTGTTGCTCACCAGTGGCCCCACCCACTCCTAACGACCGTCGTTCACTAGTGTGACTCACCTGACCCAAACAATGGTCCAGTGAAATTCCACTAACGAAGTATTGTCTTGTGAGGGTGGTGGGTGTACACCTCCACAGAGGTTAAAAACTTGGAGTCTTACTCCACTGTTTGTCAGACTAGTGAGGACTAGTCAGACTGATGCGTTGAGAACTGATGAAGCCGCTTGGATAAGAGGCGAAACGTCTTCTAGACAAAATCAAAGTCCAGTTGCCTACGATTTAATTGTTGCCAGAATGGAATTGACCTGGATAAATGAGAATATCCACAGTCCTTGCTGAAGGGAGAAGTTGGATTTATTTCTAAAGAAGAAGCCCAACTTAACCTTCAGCTTGGAAACAAGTTTTTCAATATGTGATTTAAAAGACAAGTTCTGATCAATGATTAACCCTAAATACTTGTAAATTGTAACCATTTCAATTTCAGTCCCTTGAGTTGTTAAGTTGTTAAGAAGACAAGGAGTGCCTGATAACATTCCCTCATTTTGTCACTCCTCCCTAATATTCCTTCTAAGCTCCATCTCCTTCCTAGTTTATATATCTTATTACATAGAGTGTTCCTCTCTGGGTCATATTTACAGCACTGAAAAATGACATGTTCCACAATTTCAGGAACGTTACAGGCATCACATTGATCAGACACACACTCTGCCATTAGATGCAGAGTTGTTTTAAATCCAATGTGTCCTAATCATAATCTGGGGGTGGCAATAGCTCAATCCATAGGGACTTGGCTTGGGAACCGAATGGTCGCCTGCTCCGGACCAAATATGGAGCGCGGACTAGTGGCTGGAGAGGTGCCAGTTCACCTCCTGGGCACTGCCGAGGTGCCCTTGAACAAGGCACCAAATTCCCCAACTGCTCGGGGCACCTGTCCATGGCAGCTCCCTCACTCTGACATCTCTCCACTTTGTGCATGTATAGGTCCTGTTTGTGCATGTGTGTGCAGGGTTCAACGCTAAGGTTTTTTTTCACTTGCCCGGTCGGGCAAGTTGGTCAGAGATCTACTTGCCCGAAGTCAGTTTTTACTTGCCCTAAAAAAATTGTTTAATTTAAGCGGCTATCAATTAACAAAGACTGCAGTTATTTTTATGTTATGTAATCTTTATTCACACTTTATTAATTAAAACAACATATGTCATGTATTGTAGCTTAATTCCTACACAAATATGACAGTGTCAGGGCTTAAAGTGAAAAATTTGTCAATCGTTCTCCGTCTATAATTTTGCGCCCTACTTGAGCCATGCCCACCTCTATTTATTTTTCACCCCTCTCTCCAGTTCTGCTGTATTAACACCGGGTTTAATATATTTTGCTTCCATCTCTCTGCCCTGCTCTACTCTACTTCAACGCTACTTAGCTCTCTCTACTCTACCCTACCAGTAAACTACCACATCCACCTGTTGCACAAAACGCATACAGCAGTGTTTCCCCTAGGATGGAGTTGTAGCAGCGGAGGTGAAGCACACGCATGAAAAATAATTTTCACATGCGTGAAACTTTTTTGTATGCTTGCAAAGCACAGCCTGCTGGGATGTTTCTGTGTATCTACTGGCACCAGAAGGGCTCTTTAGGACTAAGTACATACAGTACATGTGTGCACAGTAATGAGCAGGTGAAATGTCTGTCTAGCTTACATATGAGGTGTCTCAAGATTTAGGAACATACAATTGTATTGAATATAATAAAAGTAAAAAGTCACTTGACATGCTGCTGTTTTGTGCTATGACCTATTTAAGTGTTGGAAGTTGTTATTTACGTGACAACGCCTGAACGCAACACAAGCTCAGCATGAGTGCCGTGCTGCGCTGCTGTGCGAGCAGCTGTTTGTCTGTGCGTAATGTGCAGTCTGTCGATGGTTATTTAGGCTACACACTGTCCATAACCTGGTGTGTATTTCGGACCTCTTTGTTAATGACAACGGAGTGAAAAACATTGAATTTCCCCTCAGGGGGATTAATAAAGTATATAAAATTTAAAAAAAAAAATCTAGAGATAATTACTTTGTCTCTCCTGCATTTCCCCTTGAAAGTCTTAACATCAGTTGATTTTTGTATGCTATATAAGTGTCTCCCTTTTTCATCGGTGTCCCATTTCTTCTGCCACACATCCCTCACTGCCTTTCTTATTAGTGATTTGGTGTCACCTTTTCCAAAGGGAACTTTCATTATTTATCACTTAATTTCAGCACTCTCTTAGCAACCACGTTGTCATGATCCTCATCATGGCAGCCCTTCCTTCTCCCTTATGTGTGTGTGTTGTCATTCCCAGTCTGTATTATTCCTCCTGTGTCTCTCCCCCTGTCTGTTCTGTGTGTGTGCATGTGGGCGTGGTCTCCGTCCACAGGCAGCACCAGGTGAATCCACTCCAGTAATCAACCTCTCCATAAAGCCTCTGGATTCCCTCCTACTCGTCGCCAGATCGTTTCATCAGTTTACGTGGTAGTTTGCATCCTGGCTCCTCTGTGTTTTTACCGTTGTGCCTTATTAGGTTGTGTAGCTAATGCCTCTGTGTTCCTTCCACCTCAACTCAGATTGCTGTGCTCGCCTCGTGATCTCGTGTGTGCTGCTTCCCTGCCTGCCTGTGGACCTGCCTGCCATCGTCTGCTCTCCTGTGTTTCCCCTTTGAGTGAGTACGCTCGAGAAGACGGACCCCACTGCCCCGTGCCACAGCACTGCCATTACCACGTGGCAGACGCCACATCAAAGACACTCTCACTCTGCTCCTCACTGGTGACTTCACGAGACACGTCTGGATCCTGGGACTACGCACCACCCCTCCCCCTTGCACTTGCCAGCACATTTGAACATTAAAGACTTGTTATTCACTGTTAACCTGTTTCTGAATCGTGCATTTGGGTCCAGGCTTTGAAAAAACCTTAACACGTCTAACACCAGTTGCTCTTCCTGCGGTTTCTATCATTTTTTTCCCCTGTTAAAGGGTCTTTTGGGGAGAGTTTTTCCTTATCCGCTGCGAGGATCCAAAGGACAGAGGGATGTCGTATGCTGTAAAGCCCTGTGAGGCAAATTGTGATTTGTGATATTGGGCTTTATAAATGAAATTGATTGACTGATAGATTTTGCAGTCTCAACATTATGAACGGTACTTCTATCAATAGGTCAACTCTTACCTGATAAATAAATAAAATTGATTGATTGATTGATTACAGTTTTCTTTGAAATCAAACTATGAAGAGCTGCAGTAGAATCTGAACAAATGACCACTCTCTCCGGCCCTACCTCTTCTACCCATTGTAGTCCTAATTAGGGCCCAAGCGACGACGAGGTCGTCTGTGAGGTCTCTATTGTAATCGCGCTGTTTATTATTAGGGCCCGAGCGACGACGAAGTCGTCCATGAGGACCCTATTGTTAGGGCCCGAGCACCGACCGAAGGCTGGGCGAAGGCCCTATTGAAACTGAAGGAATTATTATTAGGGCCCGAGCGACGACAAAGTTGTCCGTGGAGGACCCTATTGAAATCACGGTGTTTATTAGGGCCTGAGCAATGATGAAGTCGTCCACGGAGGACCCTATTGAAATTGTGCTGTTTATTATTTTTAGGGCCCGATTGATGACGAAGTCATCTGCGGAGGACCCTATTGAAATCGCGCTGTTTATTAGGGCCCAAGCGACGACGAAGTCGTCCGAGGACCCTATTGAAATCGCGCTGTTTATTATCAGGGCCCGAGCGATGACGAAGTCGTCTGAGGACCCTATTGAAATCGTGCTGTTTTTTATTATTATTAGGGCCGAGCGACAACGAAGTCGTCTGAGGACCCTATTGAAATCGCGCTGTTTATTACCTGCGAGGTCCCTATTGTTTTTCTCCTGATTATTTTATTTTTTTTTCTTCCGCCAAAATGATCGCATTTTTCACTGTCTGAACATACCCCAAAACTCACCAAACTTGGAATATAAGTCACATCCTGGCGAAAAATTTTATAATCTATTGTCGTCCTGAATTTCCACCACTAGCTGGCGTTATTATTAAGGAAAGTGCGTTTTGGCTCATAACTCCCACATACTTTGTCGCACATTCAAAAACCTTATATCCACGCATTCAGTGAATTGTGCTGAATCTTGTGGTATAGGCCACGGCCATTTCCGCCTACCGTTTTTTCCCCACAAATTCGCAAAATGTCGCAAACCTACTTTTTCGAACTCCTCCCAGGCAATTTCACCGATTGGCATGAAACTTTGCACACAGCATCTGTGGACCCTCCCGACAAAAGAATTTCGATATTCCAAAGAATACTGAAGTTATTAAATGACAACTTCCTGCAGATTTCGTTCTAAACAGGAAGTGCTGCATATCTCCACATTGGTGTATCCGAATGACATGAAACTCAGGTTACCACTTTCCCATGAGCCCCTGAGGCTCTGTGCAAAAGTTCGGGTGATGACCACAAGGTGGCGCTCTTTAAATTTAAGTATTTTATATCTCAACATCGGTTGGGCGGATTAACACGAAACTTGGTATAATTATTGTCAATGCCCTCCTGAGGATATCTGACAAAAGACTTACCGATCCACCACTAGGTAGCACTCTGGTGGCCGTCTAATTTAATATTTGGCACTGTGCCAACACCATAACACTCATGGAAATAAAATTGATAGGGGTGGTATAGACTGGCCCCTGTAACTCACACACCAAAAATGACCAGCAGGTGGTGCTATTTTCAATGCAAAAGCGTTTTTGGCTAATAACTCCCACATAATATGTCGCACATTGTTAAACCTTCTATTTACGTGTTCTCTGAATTCAGCTGAATTGTGTGGTGTAAGCCACGCCCACTTTCGCGGTAACTTTCCATTCGCTAAATCGCGACAAATGAAAAACGTACTTTTTCGAACTCCTCCTAGGCGATTTGACCGATTTGCACCAAACTTTGCATGTAGCATCTGTCAACCCTCCTGACAAAAAGTTATTAAAAGAATTTTGATCGTCCAAAAAACGGCCAAAATATAAAACAACAAATTCCTGCACATTGTTTTCAAAACAGACAGTCTTTCATATCTTGACCAAATACAGTCCGATTACCACAACACTTTTGCTAATTGTGTTCCATGGCCCGATGAGGGTTTGTGCAAAATTCGGTGCAAATCAGCCAATAGGTGGTGCTCTGGTGGCAGTCTAATTAGTGTGAATGGAAGTAAATTGGAAAATCTTCCTCTTCAAAACTCATCAACTTTCGACCTCTTCTTGTCCCTCATACTTTGAGCTACAGACATCATGTCAACTTTTAAAGAGTCAGAAAACCTTGAACTATTGGGCATGTATTCAGCTTCAACTTTTTGGAAAATTACATACGTGGGTTGGGTGCCTACCTGTATACTGGAAATGTAAGTAAGAGAAAACGTTTATTTTTTAATTTATTACAGCTGACAAGACATCTAGGTGCACGCCCCCCGACGGCAGCATGCCCTGACGCGCGCGGACTGCGAGGGCCCGTTCATTGCTGTTTGCAGCTTTAATTAGGGCCCGAGCAGGTCTCGACCTGCAAGGACTGCATCGCTGCTTGCAGCTTTAATTATTATTAGGGCCCGAGCAACGACGAAGTCGTCCAAGGACCCTATTGAAATCGCGCTGTTTATTAGGGCCCGAGCGACGACAAAGTCGTCCGTAGGACCCTATTGTAATCGCGCTGTTTATTATTATTAAGGCCCGAGCAGGTCACAGAGGTCCCTATTGTTTTTCGAATGATCATTATTATTTTTTTTTTTTTCTTTGTCCAAAAGGATCACATTTTTCACTGCCTGAACATACCCCAAAACTCATGAAACTTGGAATATAAATCACACCTGGCGAAAAATTTTATAATCTATTGTCGTCCTGAATTTCCACTACTAGGTGGCACTATAATCAAGGAGTTTATAATCAAGTGCGTTTTGGCTCATAACTACCATATACTTTGTGGCACAGTCAAAAACCTTATATCCACGCGTTCAGTGAAATGTGCTGAATCTCGTGATATAGGCCACGCGCGTTTCCGCCTACCATATTTTTTCGCAAATTCGCAAAATATCGCAAACCTACTTTTTCAAACTCCTCCTAGGCAATTTCACCGATTTGCACGAAACTTTTCACACTGCATCTGTGGACTCTTCTGACAAAAAGTTATTGAAAGAATTTTGATATTCCAAAGAATATTGAAGTTATTAAATAGCAGCTTCCTGCAGATTTCNTTCCAAAGAATACTGATGTTATTAAATAGCAGCTTCCTGCAGATTTCGTTCTAAACAGGAAGTGCTGCATATCTCCATATTGGTGTATCCGAATGACATGAAACTCAGGTTACCACTTCCCCATGAGCCCCTGAGGCTCTCTGCAAAGTTTCGGGTGATGACCACAAGGTGGCGCTCTTTAAATTTAAGTATTTTATATCTCAACATCGGTTGGGCGGATTAACATGAAAATTGGTATAGTTATTGTCAATGCCCTCCTGAGGATATCTGACAAAAGACTTACCGATCCGCCACTAGGTAGCGCTCTGGTGGCCGTCTAATTTTTTTTTTTTTTTTCAAACCTGTCTGCATTAGTCTTCGTAGCTTAGCGCCACAAAAGGGTGTACGCTTTTTATGAAGATTGATGCACTGTTAATCTTGCAGTCAAGTATTTTATACCCATACTGTGCGTGGTTGTGACCGTCACCCACCCTCCCTGGAGACTAGCCTATCAGCCTTTATTGGAAAAACTTCCTAATACGAGCTAGAGAGAGCCGTGATACACCGTAGTGTGTCAAGGGGAAAGTAAGGGACAGACTGGGGGGATTGAGGGACAGGTGCTTAAGTCCTAAGGTATATAGCGACAGTGCATGCGGAGAAGAAGGAGAAAACAAACAAACAAGCAAACAAACAAACATACAAACAAAACAAAACAAACAAACAAAAAAAAACAGAGGAGAAACAGGCAGTGTAGCTGATGTATTGTGGCCTTGAGGTTGTTGTGCTCCATACAGATTACCAAAAATAAACAAATAAATGTATAATAAAGAGAAAAAAAAAACAAAAAAACAAAAGAGAAGTCTATACTGAACACCAGAAATGTGAGAGTCCTGGTGGTGGAGGAAAGCCCGATTGTGGAGAAGAGTTGCCAGCGCAGTGTGGTAGGTTTGAGAAGCAACTGAGCCCCTTTTGAGTGATCCCATCGGTTCTTTGCGATGCGTCCCGGGGCTGAAGTATCGAACATGCATGCGTGTATTTGAACCCTCCCAATGTGTTTATGAAAACCATCACCAGGGACCAGGGCCAATGTCCCAGCCCTGCGGGAGAAGGCAGANGAACATGCATGCGTGTATTTGAACCCTCCCAATGTGTTTATGAAAACCATCACCAGGGACCAGGGCCAATGTCCCAGCCCTGCGGGAGAAGGCAGACGGCGAGGCACCCCAAGGCCACAGGAGCGTCCAGACCCCACGCCCAGGGAGCCGCTGAGGCCGCAGGACACCACACAGGCCCTAGGACCTGGGGCGGCAATGGCCAGCACCCCCAGAGAGCCAGGGACACACCCCAGATGGGTGGGATAGGAAGGCCTGCCCACCTGCCGGCCAACGCAGATCCCCCCCGCCCCGACCCCCCCGCCAGCAGCAGCCATAAGGCACCTGTAACGTGTTCCCATCTGTCCCCCAAGATGTAGGTGTGTGTGGTGCTTTAAAATTGGAGGACAGATGAGGATGGGTTGGGGGGCAGTATGGAGGGCTACAGGATACCACTGTCCCATAGCCTGCCCCATTGTGAAGCCCCCAATCCATCAGTGGTCTGCACCTCGAAGAGTGAANCCCCCAATCCATCAGTGGTCTGCACCTCGAAGAGTGAATGTATGTGGTGCGTTAAAACTGTGAAATGTGTGGTAGGTGAACTAAATGTGGTTTAGGAGGCCAGGCCAGTGTAGGCCCAGCCCGAAGGCCGGAGGGATGGATGAGAGGGGGTAGAAGGTGGTGCCAACCAGACCCCGGTGCCGCGAGGCCCCTAAAGCCCATGGGCAGCGGGCCAAGTGGGCCCCAAGGAAACCCAACGAGCCCCCACCGAACCCCGCCCCCCAAGCAACTGCAGCGTCAGGCCCCTGCAACGGTCCCGACTTGGGTCACACTGCCCGCAGCAAACCGACCCCCAGCAGAAGGACGAGGCACACCACCAGGATGCATGGACGATGGGC